TTTCCTTTTCTCATTTTGATAATCAATATGAATTTTATGTGAATCCAAATGAGAATGTTTTATCCAGTCTAATATCCTGTGATCTGGGTATTTTTCCCACAAGAAAGACAACATTTTAAAATATTTTTTTGAGAAGTAAATTGACGTTCTGTAATGAGTTATTCAAATGTGTTTGCTGACTTGTAAGCAAGCTTTTAGTTCATGTCTGTTATTCAAGATCTTTTAAAGGTCATGAGCTTTCTTTTACATATTGAATAGGTATGTTTTTCATTGTAAATCTTGTCTAAAAAAATGCCCCACAGTAATGTGTAAGTAGGAAGTCTAAATCTTTTCATCTACAGAATCCTTCTAAATAAGGAGGGGAAAGTGCACTGGCTCTTAATTTTTATAAATGGAACAATAGATGTCTCATGGGTATAATAAACCGATTTATCTGTGAAGCTTTTCATAAGATTTAATTAAATTCTTAGCAAAGTGACTGAAATTTTGTTTGAAAGACAACACTTGCTTTTTAAAATGTTATTTTGTCCCCTGGGCTGTAATTAGGCTGCATTTAGATGGATTCTTCATATTTTACTTTTCTTCTGTTCTTCATTTTTTCTACTGGGTTCTGCCCTGGATGATCCCTTAGTTTAAAAGAACAAGCTTCAGTCCCTCAGCTCAAGCCCACAGACTGTATTTTTCATGAAGACCTCATCTTGTAGCTGTTAATTTCCAAATAACAGTACCTTTCTACTATGGCTACACTAAATGTGGTCCTTCATGCATGCAGTTGAAGCCTGAATCCCAAAGGTACTCTATTAAAAGTTCAGAGAACTGCAACCTTCATTATTTTAGCCTTGAAAATTATTTTCTATAGATCATTTTGCCTCTAATTTGCTGTCTTATCTTGTTGTTCTGGGCTGCCACTTTAGCCCATTAATTCATTTGCAAATTCTTTTTCTTGCTTGTCTAATTCAGTTCTCAGCTGCAGCCTGGATAGAGCAGGTCAGCTTAAATTTTGACTTCAGCCTCTGTGTCATAGCCAAACCTCAGTTTCTCTCTTTAACTACCAAATTCTCCTACAAATTATTTTTTTTCACATTGTCCTGCCTTTTCTCTGAAGCATGAGAAACTTCAGCAAACCTGGAAAAGTCCTTGCTTATTGTCTTCCAGTCCTTTTTTGCAGCTCATCTCTACCATGGTCCTACAAAACCCAGATTTGGTGGTAAGGCAGATAATCCAAGCCCTTTTTTGTTCTGTGTAAAACAATGCTATTCACTAAAATTTCTGCAGTTAACAGAGCTATCTTCTTCCTTTTCTGACATTATTCACTTGCCTAATTCTTTTATAAGTATTTTTTTTTTTTTCTACATGTTTTAATACTGAAGGGCCTTGGGGGCACAGGTGGCAGAAGGTCTCAATGTTTGTATCTCCAATAGTTGTTGCAATAGCTGTGTCACTGAAACTGATACATTGTTATTGGGCCAGTACAACCATGGTATAGATTTATGTAATTGTGGGAAAATGAGATGCAAATGAGGTAGAGTGGATTTTTTAAAAGACTCCTTGATTATTTTCCCCCTTTTTAGTGAGTGTGTGTGTCTAGCATTTTTTTATTGTACAGAGACTAAAATTATTCCATACTTGCTTGACAAAATGGGGTTTTTTTTTAGGGCTGGCTAACATAAAAAATAGGAGAACTATTGTTGAGTCATGTGATCTCCCTGAATACCAGCTCTTTATTTACAATCTGGGATTGTAAATGTTGTAAATGTATAAAGATTTATAAATGCTTTGAAGGTGTCCTGTTTTGGTATAATCCCTGGGATAACAGTGTCTTGTCTCATTCAGGATATTACATCCTCTTGGAATGTAAATAGCAAGTAAATAATTGTGCCACTAGAGTATACTTGATAAAACTTCCAATGCCAGTCTGAACATCCTCAGACACATCCCAGAGCAGTAATATTTCTGTGCAGTGTGATGAGCTTGAAAAACGTCTCAGCAAGCCTGGTGCATCAGGAGTGAGTGTGTTCCCTGGAATACAACTGGGAGAGTTAGTATGTAGAATGTATATATTGGCATAATGTTTTCTCTGATATACATATGTGAACATATCTCTATAGATAGGTTTCTGGGCAGTTTTCTTCTGAATAATACCACTTATCACACCCAATGTTTTGTGTACTGTGGTGGCAATCTGGATTTACAACACAAAGGTTTTTTCTGTACTGGATAGGTAAATAATCCCTATTAGAGGAACACTTAGATTGCACTTTGATATCAGTTTCTTGCTGGGAATTATGTGTTTCTTCATGAACAATCCTTTCGAATTTCCTCCATTTTCCCCAGAAGGAAATGACAAATCCCCTCACTAAGTGTGGCAGGAGGGAGGTTTTGGGTAATCACTGATCAGGGTCTCATTTCCTTTACTTTGTGTTGTGATACACAGTGAGAAAAGTTCATTCACCTCCTTAGGGCAGATGTGGCACAGTTTTCCAGTTTGTGTGGTTTTCATTATTGAGGTGGGGATATATCAATTCTTAACTCGTCCTTTGCTGGAAGGAGAAGCCAAACTTGCACAAGTGAGGGATTGGATCATTTGTTCCTCATTATTGAATCTGATTCATCAGTACTGCAGGTTTTCTTAGACACAGGTAACCTGGTGGCTGAACTAGGGTGAAGTGCTTAGTTTCCCATTAATTCTGCAGATCGTGACAAAAATATAATTCTGTGTATGCTAACCAAAAGGCACTTGGACTTGAGAGCATTAAAGGGCTGCTTTGGACTGAGTTTCTTGGCAATTATGTATAAAATCTATATGGGAACAGGGAAAAATTGAAACTTTTAATGTATAAAATTAGTCACTCTTATTAATTGCAAGAAAATGAAAGTTCTTAAATCACTGACTACTGGGGAAAAAAAAGTTAAGATCAGTCAGGTACCAGCTGAAAATCAGTCAGGTACCAGCTGAAACACCTTCCTATGTGAAAGGTGACTGGCACTCATTCAGATAGTGGAGACTCTCTAAGTAGATAAAGGAAAGTTATTTCTCTTTAGAGTACTTCCAATTCAGTGGTTTTTTAAATTTTTTTTTGGGGGGGGGGGGAATAAGATTACCTTCAAAAGAGTTAGTCTCCCTTCTTTAAAGTTATGTGTGAGCCATCTGACTACAAAATGAGACAATGCAGAGGGTTATAAGGATTATAATCACTTATATTTAGGCAGTTGATGAATCCAACTGGTCAATCAGTCTAATTCTCAAAGCATGCTTTTAACAAACTCATCACAGAAGAACTGGAATTGAGTGCAGTAGTTTTATTGAAAAAGTTCACAGGTGTGTGCAATTCCTTTATTAAAATGTTTTCAAATACATTGGACTAGGAGCAATTGATGATCAAGAGATATTCCTTTTTTATACATTTTTATTTCCAAAACTATACAGACATTGGAAAACTTTCCTTTTCCTCCATTTCAATTAATAATGATTCTGTAGTGATGAGCTATAGGTGTCCTTTTCAAGCTGCAAGCCCACTTTTCTGGAGGTGGAATTTTGCATCTTTGACAAATTAAAAAAAAAAAAAAAAACAAACCCAAACCATCAGTCATATTTACATGTGCTTGAGGTTGCATAATTGAGCATCATACAGGTTCTGAAAACCAGTGGTTTTCAGGATTCACCCAGGTGGGTTGAAGGTTTTAAATACATACATAACTGCATACATGTGATTTAGTAGCCAAGACACCCTCTGTTCCCTTTTGTTCTGTGCTAGCCATGGTAAAGGTTGGTTTTAGTAAAGGTACTCACTGAGTGAAAGCAGCACTGACAACAACTATTGCTGGTCAAGGACATGAATGGGCAGAGAATTGTGTGTGTATATACAATAGAAGGACTAATGTTTCAAAATTAACTTGAAGATCTTATGTAAAAATAACATCTATATATGTAGAATAAAAGCTATTTCCTCTACTGGATTGAAGAATAAAAGACCCCCACAAACACTTGAGTAAGGAAAAAAGTGGAGCTCAGCATGGGAAAAGAACAATAGAAGCACATGGGTTAAATTTGGAAGCTGATCTTGCAATGTATAATTACTGGAGATTCAGCTGAAATATAGCAACATTACCAATGGGAAATGAAGGCTACAACTGCAGAGGACACATACATTACACTTTATGAGCTATTATATTGGCCAAAAAGATTTGTCTATATGTTACTTAGTTGAATCCTTAAGGCTTCTCTAATATCTTGCATGACAGTGCTGTCTGCTTGGATCTTCCATGCATGAGGGAGAGGGGCAATTTTTCAAGAAAAAAGAAAATTAGGTTTGTCCACATTTCAATTACAATAGCACATCCAGAGACACAAAATAAAAGACAAAACTTTATAGTACCTTTTTTAATTTATTTTGGCCCCCAAAAGATGCATGCACTAGGCTTTATGTACTATAAGGTATTGAAATATTTACAGCATTGTACATGTGCTCTTAAAGGAATGGCAAAGGGAAAGGTCTGTTTTCATCTTGGTGGGAGTAGAAGTTAATTTTCCTAGCTTAATAATACCTATTCAAAGTGAGAGATGACTCTTCCAAAAAGAAAAGCCCACAGAGAATAAAGCTATAGCATAATCATAGCCAATGTTAACAAACTGTACAGCACTTTACCTGGGAATTCTCTCTCTCTCCTGTGTGGAATCACAGTTTCAACTATTTAGTGATGTTGCTATGCTCCCGTTGTCCTGTCTGCCCTGTTTCTCTCTATTCCAGCAGGTATAGGTGTATATTACCTATTGACATGATTTTATTTTTAAATTATTTTGGCATGTGGAATGGACATGTAATTCACAATAACCTGATGGCAATTTTTGGACAAATGATATGACTGGTATTTACGGGATTATGGCACTAAAGAATTCAGATCACTATAAAGCGCATCATAAATACTTCAAGTGGATTTAGGAAACCATCTCTCTAAGAAATTCAGTGAGTAAGGCTCATATCACTGATTTCCTACTGCTTTTAAAGGTACAGATATGATACCCAGTAGACCAGGTTGAACAAGCAGAAGGCAGTTGGGAAGAAGATGCGGGCGTAGGAGTCCATTTTGGCAATGCGGATGTGTATTCTGCCGTGCCTCCACGCGCCCGTCCGACAATCCTCAAAGCAGCAAAAAAAACTGGCACAGTCCTTGCCATCGAGACACTCATAGCCATACTCCTCATCCCTTTCTTGGAGGTGTGTAGCATTGTTCATTTGAATTGTTGCTGATCGGGGGCGGATGTCAATAGTAGGTGCCTAAGGTGGAGTAGCAAAAGAAGAAAAAGATGGCAGAGGGAGAAACTGTTATTATCACCAGACTGGCTGGGGATGATGTCAGCATGGGCATGATGGTTCTGGGGGGGGTACGTGGGAAATTGCTGAGATGTTCTAGTGACAAAATTACCTTGAGCTTATTAAAAGCAGTTGCATCATACCCATTAGAGGAAAGCAGCACAAACCAATCTAAAGTTAACAGCCATGGGAAATCAGCTTCAAAGTTAAACTGAGTAAACATGAGAGGTTAAATGAAACATCCAGGAATGTAATTGATGGTGTTTGGAGTTTTTGTTTTATAGTTTATGTAGCTGCTTGATATCTGAAGGCAATTTCTGTATTGCACTTGAAAGGAACTGAATCAATTGGAAATGCAGGATTTTAAAAGGGGTGGTTCATGTTGAGAAAAAAGAATATGTATATACAGGAAAAAGGCAAAACCTAGGTTTTTCGAATAAGATTAGGAGAATCTCTATAAGACTCTTCAATTATTTGAATATTTGCAGCTCACCACCTACTAATGCTCACCAACTAGGAGGTTCAACATGTTCTGATTTTATATAGTAGCTGTACATGTATATCTACATACATATAATTAGAATGAATTGAGCAAGTTAAGCATTTAAATAACATTCACTGGGTGAATGCTGGAATGATAGGCATTGAAATTTCATGCTGATAGTTATTAGGGAAGTATAACAATTCCATTCCAGAAGTATGTAAAGTCAATGTCATTTATTTTATGCAGTTTCTTCCGCTCTCCCTCCTCCCCACCCTCCCCACCTTTAAAAAAAAAATTTTAATAAAATCTCTGCATTTCTGAATGGAGATAAGGTTTCAATGTGGAACACAACTAGATATATTAGGTAATTTTCTCAATGTGTTCATCCAGTGACAACATTAGAATCTATAGGCATCTTAAACCCTTTCAAAACTCTGACTCTTTTTTTTTTTTTTTTTTTTTTAAAACCCTTCAAAAACCTCTTTTTTTTTTTTTTTTTTTTTTTTTTTTTTTTTTTTTTTTTGCACAATGAATAACATTTGAGTAATTGATGGTGACATTGAGTTTTTTTTCAGGTCAACATCAGAACAGATTTGACTTTATAATTAGGATTGAAATCACAAAGGTTAAAAAACCCAGGGTCAGAGTTGAGTTCTAAAAGGGTGTATTGCAGGTTTTAGGCTAGCTGGTGGTATTGGATCCCATGGCAAATTGAGACAGAGCAGCAGAAATGTTTTAATGTTAAACTCTCTTAATTCATGCGATCCAATAATGTTGGTCACTCCTGAACTTAGGTAAGTTCAGAACCATAGTGGTATTTGGGCTGCTGAATCAACTCTACAAATTGTTTAGAAATTTGTAACCATTCTACTTAATTAGGAAGTAGCTTGAGGAGTTTTCTCATTAATTAAAAGACCAAACAAAACACCACTCTCATCTAAGCTCTACTAGTTAAATTCAGCAGTCGCATGCAGTGAATTTCCATTCCAAAAAACATTATACCTTGAAGGAAAACATCCGAAGAAGCTTTCATTTTGTAGACAGAAAAGAGAATCAGAGGGTTTTGTTTTAAATTAAAGAAAGGAAAGAAAGAGACAAAAATAATGTAAATTAAAAATATGTTTCTAAAACATGGTAAGTCAAAAAGAACTAAATTTATAGAAAGATTGGGATTACAGCAATTGAAACAAGTATCTGTAACATAAAATCCCCCACATTTTCAACTTGTCACTTTCTTGTTTACATCTGGGCCAGAGACATAAGCTATCAAACTCCTGTTAGGTTTTCATATCCTGAGGGAATGCCAGTCTTTTATGCTGAACTGTTTTGAAAGAGACCATTCATGGTTTATAGAAGCACCTTTTAGAAAGAAGACTCTTTACCTGCAAACTGTGCCCTGAACACTACTTTTACAGTTGTTAGACTCTCTGATTAGGATTCTGGCAAGCATTTATAGTTCTGTTTCTCCCCAGACACTCACAGATAAGCAATGTAAAGAACAATTAAATCTGAGATACATTTAGTTTTGGTCCTCTACCTGACTGCATAAGACACACAAATACTTCTATGTCCATCTAACACAGGACACATCACTTGATCATTTTACCTTTTTTTACAGCCTACCTCTCAGCAGCTTTTAAACTTGAAATTATAGGAATAGTATGTAGTGAAAGGTTCCTTTACTGCTATTTTTTCTATATCCATTTTTGTAATGTATTTTATAACTAAAAGAGAATATCTTCAAAAGTCTTTGAATATGTTAGCAGAGCAAATATAAATTACTTTATTCCTTGTTAAATGCTTGATATGGAGATAAAAAATTCTCTCTATTAATGTAAAACATTTGTCCTTCACATTTTTTACTTTTTTTGGTTTTTTGTTTGGGGTGGGTTTTGTGTGTGTGTGTGTGTGTGTTTTTTCTTTTTTTTTGGTGGATTTTTTAAATCTAGAACAAAGAAAAATAAATTGAGAATGAAAAAACAGTGGATTAATGATTCATGCACGTTTTCTTAGAGATAATATTTTACATCCATGAAATTAATATTTGAAAATTTGAAAACACTTCCAGTAGCTTATGATATTATACTGAAAGATTGCAATGAAATAAAAATATCAATGTTGGTTTTTTTTTTTATGGGTTTTTTTTGTGTTTTTTTTTTTTTTGGGGGGGGTGTCGGTTTTTGGTTTTGTTTGTTTTTTTGTAGATGTTTTAGAGATTCTAGACAACACATTTGTCAGCGCAGTTGCCAAAGGCAAGGAGAAATCTGTCCTGGACAAAATAAGCATCAAATTCTTTCCTTCTCTGGGCAAAAGCCCAAATTGCTACTGAGGGTGTTCCCATGTTTTTTTCACTGCTGTTATTATATACATTATTTTTACTTTTGGGTAGCATATATCCATAAGTATCATTATAAACTACTGGAAAATCACTCTCTAAGGCAAAGTAGGTAAATAAGGTAAGAAATATACAAAAGAAGAACTTAAGGAAACAATAGAAAGGAAACTGATGCTAAGGGGAAGTTGGAAAAAACACACCAAAGTTTGAATATAAAAGTTTAAATGTAGTCCTGGTAAACAAGGTAGTCATGTCAATAATGTGGACATAAGTTAATGGCATAGAAATTGCTAATACTAATACAGAGAAACTGAGATATTTTCTATGAAGAGATCTATATATAGCATAAATAATGGCTTTGGTAGTTGTGGTTTGCAGAACAGTTTGGTTAAAAAGATCTTTATACTAAGAAATTAGTTCTCCTAATTAGTTCTTCCAGAAAGCTGTAATATGTTTTTGATTCTCAAAGTGAATGTTTGCATTCCTGTTGTTATGAAGGATGGGGATATAGGTAAGAGAAAAGTATGGAAAAAAGGGACAGTTATAAAGAGGGATTTAAATGCTCTCTCAGAAAAACTAATTAAATTTTAGGCCTTACTAAAGGCCTTAGTTTTTAAAGGTAAAAAGATACATACTGGGTTTTTCTTCTTTTTGTCTTTATCCTTGCTTGGCTTTCTGTTGCTGACAAAGTAATGCAAAGTTCCATATTCCACCAGTGCAGAGAACACAAAAATAAAGCAGACTGACACAAAAAGATCCATGGCTGTCACATAGGAGACCTTGGGAAGAGATTTACGAGCAATTGTACTTAGGGTGGTCATTGTCAGGACAGTTGTAATTCCTAGTAAATAGAGAGAGAAAACCAGAAATAACATTACTTCAAGTAGAAAACTGATTTTGCCAGTCATCTCTCTGTGATTGGTTTTGAAACAACTTCAAACCCACAGCAAAGGTATTCAGTAGCACATTCTAGCAGTGAAATGCCAGTTCAATGGGAGCTTAGAGGATTAACAGGGGTGATGCAACGTTTTTGCATGGTCACTGCCAGTGCTGCTCTGTAGAGGACTTTGGTTAGATGAATTCTAAGACATTTAATTTAAGGTTTTGGTTTTGTAGTTTACTTCTGGGGAGTTTTTATTTTTTATTGAAAATTCAAGTTTAGGGTTTATGCACTTCAATGCTTAAACAGAGCAAGAGAAAGATCTACAAAATAGAAGTACTGTGACATGTCTCACCATCCCTTCCCTTTCAGAACATTATTGCATATACTGCAATGTGAAAAATATTTAAAAAAATGCATCAGAACAGTTCAAATCTGTCACAATTTTTATTGCATTGTTGGTTTTACTTTCTTACTGGTGCAAACAGATTAACTCTCAACAGAGGGACAAGTCTGTTTTGTGTATCTAGGTAAAATTTTAAATAATAGCTGAATGCCTTTATTAATTTTTTACTTCTTTAAAACAGATTTTATAGCCTCTTTTTAAAGAGGATGTGAAAAAACCAATAAAATGCTTAAAGCTTTCTTTTATGGAAGCCACTAGTCCCCTGTTATGCTCCTTCTAGGGAGTCTGGAATGAAAATTGTGTACCCTATTTTACACTCCAGTGCTCTGTGCTGTGGTTCTGTGAAGAAATGAAGACGCAGAAGGAAAAACTGAAATAATTCTCACTTGTGTGGATTTAATGTAGAAGTAGAAAGTGTGTTAAACTTTCTGTAGCTGGATGATTCTGCTTTGTTATTTCTTACAGCTTCTTTGCACAAGCAAGATTAATTTAGTCTCCTAGTTTATTTGTGGAGCAGTTGCTAAATGTGTAGAAATTTCTAATTCTGATTAATTGCATGTCACATTTTCATGTATAAGGTTTTGGATACCACCAAATTCAGCTGATTTTTTTTGCCTGAAGTGTATACTTGATTGTTGGTTTCTGAAGTGGTCATGGTGGTACATTCTCCCCTTATTACCACTTGGACACACAGCCAGAAAGTGGATTCCTTCTAGGTAATTATTTAATTTGTGTTGCCAGTCACTGTAATATGGAAGTAGAACAAGTGAAACCAATGCACCCTGCCTCTAATGCAGCTATGGGTCCCAATCCTCTTGATGTTTATAAAAATTCTGCTGTAATCAGAAAAAATGTGAAAGCTTTTATTGTTGACAATCTGCAATAGTCAGAACATGGTAAAAAGGAAGACATGCAAATATAGCTCAGTCTGTGTTATTCCTTGGAAATTACTGCATTCCTCTAAATGAGGAGATTTCGTGTGAAGTTTTCTGTTCTCGTATTTGCAAACTGGTGATCTGCAAAGGTGTCAATTAAACATGATAATGCTTGAAGGAAACAGGAAATATAAACTCACCCAGTGATGTTCTGGCTGGAACTGCATCCTTATTAATCCAGAAAGAGACCCAGGACAAGACAACAATAAGTGTGCAGGGAATATAGGTCTGAATAGTGAAATAACCCATTCTCCTGCTCAGGTTAAAGAACACAGACATGACTACATAGTCTCCTGTGAAACAAAAGCAGAGTAAATAGAATAATATGTTAGAAAACCAACATAAAATTTCTGTGTAAGAGCTAGGGCTTTCCTATTCCACATCTGGGGTGTGTGTGCATAAATATTAAACTGATTCACCAGATGTACTGATGGCAAATACACACACACATCTTTAACACAGCTCTAGCTCAAGGACCAGTGGATTTTCCACACTAGGAAAATTAGCAGTCGTGCAGATTAACTCAGGGGACTTTGCTGTATGATTTCAAGGGTAACCTGCCTTGCATAGCAGAACTTCTACCCAAGTAATTCCTCATAACCACACCTTCCTGGTATGATCCCCTTGCAGCAGCCCAGGGTGTGCTGGGGGTCCAGCCTTCCTCCAGTCTGTATCCCCATCAGTGTGCTCCCAGCTCCGCTCTCAAGTGTTGCATGCTTTCAGATGTACTTCCTACATTCCTGTTCTTAACTATTCTTCAGGGCTATGCTGTGTCAGTAATTATTTATTTTCCTGCTGATCTTCCTGTTGTATTTTCTCCTTTAAAATAATTTGAACTCACATTTCCTAAGTGACCCCAAAAGCTGGGCTGGAAGTTCCTCAGGCGTACATAACACATCATTCTTATTCAGTAGCTTGTGTTTGTCTTTCCAGGTTCTCTTCCCCTCTCAAATTAAGTAAATTCCATCTGGGTTCAGGAACACAGCCAAGCTGCAGTTTTTGGTGTGGTTTGTTTTTTAGTTTTTGGGGGTTTTTGTTTTGTTTTGCTTTTTTTTGTTTGTTTGTTTGTTTGTTTGGTTTTTTTGGTTCATTGGTAGTATTTGTGGGTTTTGTTGTTTTGTTTATTTTTTGTTGGGTTTTTGGTTTTGATTTGTTTTTTTTTTTTTTTTTTTTTGGGGGGGGGGGGTTTGTTGTTGTTGGTTGTGGGTTTTTTCCCTAAACTAAAAAAAAACCTATTTCTTATCATTACTTCAGATTACAGCACTCCTGGGAAAAATCTTGATTGCAAAGGAGCTACGGAACCCCAGGGTACAAAGACTTCATTGCAATTCAGTGAAATGCAGCCCAGAGAAGTCTCTAATGGAAACAGGATATGATTTGCAAATCTAGAGTGAGCTAGTTTTCCAGCATTATCAAAGAGTCTCTGTGGCTAATGCAAGTTCTGCTTAGATCAGTACCTTTAGTTAATATTGAGTTCCTCTTTTCTGGCATAAAAAAATTTAAATTTCTCCCAAAATAATCCCTTTGAACCTGACCACAGAAGAAACTTCAGAGGTATTTTTCAAGTGGTGCTTCTTTGTTATTTTTTTGAATTTGAATATCTATATTCCTGGGATTGACTGGCTTTAGTTTAATTATATTATGTTATAATTAAACTAAAAACATAAAGCTCCCAAATTTTAGATATGCAGTTTTTAAGGTGATACTTCTGAATATGAGCAAACAAGTGTAATAATTACAGTCTGATTATTTCCTTAGGTTACAGACAACTTTGCCTTGTATGTGCATATCCTTCTTATACCAAAAAAGTCCAACCAACCTACCAAAAATACAGCACTCATCAGCAGCACTCCAAAGCTGAAGCCATAAAATTACAGTATGACTCATTCTTCATCTCTCTGGATCATATATTAACTTCCTAAGGAGTGATTATTTTTTCAGTTTTTGGAATTATCCCTTTATTCATTTACCTTCATATATGCTATTAATAGCATTGCTATTTCCATTTGATTCTGCTACGATATGGCAGAGATCACTTGAAGCAGTAGCTGGTTTACTTCCATGCAAACATTTTTAAAAGAGAAGGATTTTGTGCTCACTGTTATTATATCAATTTAATGGGACAAAGAATTTCCAGAAGTAAGAGAAGAAATATAAACCCAAATATAGATTAGAGCATAAAAAGGTACAGAAGGCCCAGAACTGAAGTTTAAAAATTAGATGTTTTATTGCTGTTCTTGTTTCTTTCTACTGAAGTTCCAACTGCAATGGGCTCTTTTGGAGTAAATGAGTGAAGTACCAGAGCCCAGGTAACTACTTGCTCCTTATTTTTTGTCCTATACTTGCACAGGTCTTTTTGCCCAACTGTTTGGCAGCTGTAACCCTCCTGCCTTGTACTCAAAGGAACAGAAAATATCAGACTTCAGTATACAAGCCAGAACTTTTCTACAGGTATTAGAGTTAAATCCAAAACTCAGCACCTGTGCTGAGAAGAGCTAAATAGAGATGATCTGGACCAAGGCATAGTGCAAGCCCTCCCTCACACACTGTCCTTGTTCAACAGCTGTGTGTGCAAACCGGCCCAGGGGTGCTGTGTATAACGTGTGAATATACATCTGTGTGTGTAGTGAGAGAGCAGCCTCAGTCCTTCTATTTTACAGACCATTTCCAAATACTTTTTTTTTTTTTGGTTGGTTTTAGTGGTGATCCCCTGGTGTCTGTGGAGACTTGTCTGGATTTTTCCCTTAACCCAAGGAATGCTCTTTATACAGACAACTATTACAGTAATATTTTTACAATATCGTATGCATTATTTTAATTTTTTTGTTGCTGTTCATAATGTAATCCATAAGACCATGTAAAACATAAACCGAACTTGTAAAGGTCTTAGTCCAGCCACTGGCAGTGAAACAGAGCTTTGAATTCTCTGTCATCTCAAAGGTGCACTTCAGAGGGCAGTTCATTCCCACAGAGCATTAACAGTGTCCACAGGACCTGTGCTGCACAAACTGGAGACACTCTAGGTGAGAGTGTTTCATATCTAATCAAACAAAATTCTCTCTGCTTTTCTTTTTTTTTTTTTTTTTTACTTTTCCTTCTATTTTTTTTTTTAAATACACAACTTCATAAGCAAATATGTTTAGAAACAACATCTCTCTGCTAACAGGTTCCAAAAGTTTAAAAGAGATATAATTGTTGTAGGACTTTTCAGCCCTCACAAATATTATTGTACATCCCTTTATGCAAAGGCTTTCTTCCCTCGCTGATACTTGCATTTAAAAAATCCAAACTACTACAGAATTATATTTGTAGGAAACTCTATCAGTTTCTGTAATTTAAAAGTCCACAGCATTGTTCTGACAGACCTTATTTCTCATGCATTTTAGAATTGGAAAGGTTTGACTGAAAGCTCAGGGAAATAAGAGACCATATATATTTTATATGAGTTTTAAGGTTTCTACTAATGGAGAAGTTAAATCAGGGGATGTAAAAACTTCAGTGTCAACTATAACTTGCCAGCCAGTGTGGAATTGACCAAGATGATGAGTCACTCAAGGATGCATAAATTCTTTTATATCACATCTTACTTTCTCATCTGAAAGCCTGCTGATGCTGCAGGCTCTGCTTTGTTGTGGAATGTTTCAGATCCTTACAAAAGAAAGGAATAATGTTAATATTTTACCTTGCTTTCTTGGGGTTTTGGGAAGTGGGATGTACAGATGACTTTTTTTTTTTTTTTTAGGTGAAAGTAAGAAAAACAAATGGAATTTAGGGATTGCCAAGACAAAGCAAGTTAATAATTTGGTAATGTACTTAATATCTCTTCTAGCCTTGAAGTAATGTGTTCTGGTTTTGTCTGGGACAAGGGGCATTTTCTTCTGAGTAACTGGCACAGGGCTGTGTTTACATTTAGCATGAGAATGGTGCTGATGCTGCACTGATCTTTGTTGGTGCTAAGCAGTTCTTACCCCAAGTTCAGGAGTTTTCTGTCTCATGCTCTGCAGGTGAGTAGCTGCAGAAAAAGCTGGGAAGGAGCACAGCCGGGACATCTGACCCAAGCTGGCCAGAGGGATATTGCACACCCTGGGATGTCTTGCCAGTGCCTGAACTGGGCGAGTGGGCTGGGAGCTGCCAGTCACTGCTTGGGGACGGGCTGGGCATATCAGTCTTTGGTACTGACCAACTGCATTGTGCATCACCTGCTTCTCTTGGCTTCTGTCACCTTCTCCCCTTATCATTGCAGTTCTAACTAGTGTTATTTGCATATGTCTAATTATAGTAATATTTTGTTTAAATTATTAAGTTGTTCCTGTGTCAGCCCATGAGGTTTACCTTTTCTTTCTGATTCTCCTCCCTGCTGGGGAGGGCTGGTGGGTGGGGAGTGAGTGAAAAGCCAAGTGTACTCAACTGCCAGCCAGGGAAAACTGTGACAATAATGAGATAAGGAAAAGAGGAGTAAGTGGTGGAATGCTCCAGAGAAGTATCTTGCTGGGATTGCCAAGTTTACTTAAGTGATGTTGGAACGATATAACAGCAGGTCTTCTGAGATTTTGAATAAAAAAGTTCTCTGAACATACAAAATAATGCAAGACCGGAGATGTGAAATTTAGGACTCCGTCTCAGTTGTCACAACACATACATCCAAAACGTCAAGTGCATTAAGTCCCGTGTGGAACATGGACTTGACAGTGCTTTGCTTTAATCACACCTTTCTTGATGGAATCTTGCCCCAACCCTGTTTTTATCCAGATTTAGTTTATTTTCTGGCTCTATTCATGCTTTTCTCAGCTCTTTAGCTGAGACCAGCTTAAATACTCTGTTATTTTCAGATTATCCCTGTGCCTCAGGTGATTTTTCACTCCTGGTGTGATTCCTGCATGAAGCTGTCAAACTAAGACATTAGTTTAGTAAAAAATGGCTAGACTTGATCCTCAGCACAATGTCATTTATTAGTCTTCACTTGGCAAATTTATAATAGTTTCATTATTACTTCATCCTGTTTCCCTGAGCTCTGTCTCTTGTTTGTCCAATATTGTCTGCTGCAGCAAGAAAGCCTCTCAGACTTCCAGATTGCTGTTTGGAGCACTGATACACTTTTGGAGTTTTCCAGAAATGAATGATAGTGCAACCTGACAGTATCTTTGTAAGACAACATACTTAAGCACTCAATGACTGGCATCATAATTAGAAGATTTTGGATTGCTTAGCCATTCACCAGAGACCTTACATTCCTATTGTCCACTCTGAGGTATATTTCTATTACACATGTCTAGAAAATAACACGTCCATCATT